AATATTTTACGATGTATCATGTCATTTTTCATTGTGTATTTGAATATAATTTCATTTCGTGAAATAATTTAATGAATTAATATATAATGATACGTTTCTATTAAAATTCTCCTTCCCCCTCCCCCTCAAAAAAAAACAAAAAATCATGTAACAATAAATGTATATTCGTTAGTTAATAACTTTTTTCAATGTACAAGTTTTACTTACAGGAAATGATTATCCAATAAGGAATTGTAAATAGTGACACGAAAAAGAATTGCATGGAATGCGAACGATCGCACAGTCATGTGATCAAGCTTATTGAATTTCGGTTGACGTTCGAGAGAACACGTGTTCGATCATGAGAGACTACGTAACAGGAATTTTACATTGATAATTAACACCGTTACATTCGTTTAGTCTAATTTAATCTTTGTACATTGTATCTGACACAACCAATCGTCGATCGGTAACACGTTCCTGACGTAAATATATCTTCGATAAAATAATTCAATTAATTGAAATACCATTTCAATTGTTAATCATTCGTTAAATAATTGAACGATAACAACTAATTGAAATTTATTTATTAAAAAGTATCGTAAAATTTATCTACGTTGTAAAATCGTTTAAATGATTTGTTAGATAATCTATTAGATAAACTTGAATCATCTATCGTTTTATCCCTTAAATAAATATAATTACGATACGGTTCATTTGAGTTATTTAACGTGCGTAATTTGAACGTAATTTACGAAAGACGAGCTTGCATTCGGTTACCGACAGAACCGAACCTTAGCCTTCTCTTCGTTTAACAAGGCATTCTCTTATATCGAATTTCTTCGATGCCCTAAGGGAAAAAAACCTAGGAGATTCCAAGGTTAACTTGGCGACCTCTGTCAAAACACGATTTCGGTTCCCCCTCTTGAATACGCAGCAACACTCGGCCGAAAAGAAATCCTTTAATATTCTTTTAAGTGAATAAATACTTCATTACACGACTAGATGACAGTATGATTTTTTCTCTTTTGATTTATGCTCATTTATTTAATAGGATAATAATAGTTTGATATATTTTATCTAACGTAAATTGAGATCGAAATAATTTTAATACGATTTTATTTGCACATTAACAAATAGTTTAATTTAGAATTATAAGATCAATCCAAAATTTATCGAATAATAGTGTTAAAATTTGTATTGATTGTTCTCGCGTGTATTAGTTTCATTTGTTATTAGTTTTTTTCTTTCGTAAAATAAAAAAATTCACATTTACCGTAGACCCTATGTAATAATTGTTTGGAATAATTCATTTTGTTGTTTTTGTGTTTAAAAACTTAATAACGTTATAATATTATGTCAGATAAAAAGAATCGTTGAAGCCGGTAATTTGTAAATTGAGTACTACCTGTATATAAACATATATATAACGTCGGACATTTGACATTACGTGGGTGACGAGCTTGCTGACCAACCGGCGTCCGGAATCTTTTCTCATCTCCTTTTTATTTCTTTCTTCTCTCGCGCCGCCATCTTACCCTCCTCCACACAACTGTTAGCCACCGATCTTAGCTTTTTGTTTGATCCGCATAAATATAACACTCCCACTTAACACCACCTCGAGATTTTCTGTATTTTAAATAGTTGTTGTTGTTCGTTGGATTATCGAATGAAAATGATCGTAAAATTCGTTAAAAGAGGCTACTTGTCATATATCTTTTTTTACTCTAATATATTATTATTAGAATTTTTGTTTATATTCGCGTAATATATAGATTCGAAATAAGGAATCATTAAAATTTGTATAATATTATAATATTTTTGAAGACAATTTTATTCTAATCAATTCGAAAGCCTGTGGATTAACATTAATTATTTATTCGTTCGTATATTGCGAAAAAAAAAAATAGGATGTCGTGTATAATAAAATCACTAGCATAAGATACATCGGCGAACCTGAGTTCTATTCTTGGGTTCCTACGTAGTGTTAGTAGTCGCACAAAGCTTCTCGTACCAAACTGCTTTTTGGCGTTACGCCTATTTTTGCTCTTGGTTTCGTCCTTCAACCAACGTCCCATTTACCCCGCTTAACTAAAGTTCATATTATTCATTTCCGTTCCAGTATTCGAATCAAAGAAAACTTTCATTTTCGATTACTTTCATATTATAATATATTCGAACACGCGAAGTGTTCATGGCTAGTTGCGTTATTTATCGCATATTCAATAATTTTAATTGTATTTGATATTTGTGTGAAAAACAAAAAAAAATTAATGAAAATAAAAAAAGAAAAAAAACAAATAGTTCATTGTTTAGACGAAAGTACACTTTCATAATTGCGAAAATTTATGAGAACGAGCCTATATATAGATAAAACGTTCGTAAAATTGTGAAGAGTGAGATTTGACCTTCCACCTATTCAAGAAAAAGGATTGCCTGGTCATTGGATTACGTATGCCAACAAGAATGTTTCATATTTATCGTCGTGAGGTTGAAATTACCATACATGTGATATTTTCTATTATATATTTTTGTAACATTTGTTAATGAACGATTTGAAAAATTATACAAGTATCAACTGTTGGACACCGGTTGTATGCTTGGTTGAATTTAAATAAAAAAAAAAAATAAAAAACAAGTGAAAAAAAAGAAGACCACAACCCGTTAAATAACGACACATGCGGTATAATGCTATCTACTGTTTACGAGTACTCGCAACTGCTAAGATGCACTTTTTTGGTCGTCAAGAGACTAATCATTATACAGTGTGCATTGACAAACCACGTCTATATACGTTGAATAAAGACATTGTACTTTTAATTGAAATCACTGCAAAATTTTTTTTCCTAGGATATAATTAATATTAATTAATAATCATAGTGATAATAGGGACGGCGGAGGGGGAGGGCAATTTGCCAATCTTACGATTATATGAATATAATTATTTTTTGTTTTTTTTTTTTAATTTGAGACTCCTTGTCGGATAAAATAATAAATAAAATGAAAGATAATGTAGGGGAATACGTTAAACGAATAAAAAAAGAAAAATAATGGATAGAATTAATAATAAAATTTTGTAGCGTGTCGTTTCGCGTTAGATTAAAGTCAGCTAAATTTAAAACAATTCTAAACAATTACGAATTTATAAGTAGTGACAAATAATATAATCATATATATATATATATAGATGATAAATTTGATATGATATACCAATAAATAAGATCTTGTTGTAGATGATTAATTATAGATCCGTGATATCAAAGAAAGTTTCTCACCTCGCGAGAAAGGAACTAAAATCCCAATTGGATATAGTTGGAAATGGCGCACAAACACCGGACCGTGATTCGTGAATATTCGTTTTCGTTTTCGTTTTGTTTGTTTGTTTCTTTTCTTTCTTTTTTTTTCTTTTCGTTATTCTTCTTGATCAAAATTTGTTTAATTAATTTAAAGATCGGATTAACGGATCGATGGATCGCGGATCAAGAAGACGTTTTGCCGAGAGAGAGACACCGTCAGTGGCCGTTCGTCTAAAACTGGTTGGTTGTATCCACTTGAAGAACCAACGTCGTTCGCGGGAGTTCGCCGATACACGGCCACGAATCTCACGCACGCACGCATGCGCGAACGCGAACGCAAAAGCAAAAGCAAAAGCGTGAGCGTGTTAACGCAATGCATTCGTTGTCTTCTTCTTCATCAGGTGTTCCGTCGTTCATAGCTTTTTCTTCCTATTTCATCTTTCTCATTTTGATCCTAGAAATTTAGTTCAAAGGCTTTGGTTATTTTTGAAGTTATTTTTTATTTTCCCATTTTTATCACTCTCCTGTTCTTAACTGTTAGGGTGAAGCATAAGTTCGTACGCTTTAAAATTAATATTTCCAAAGTACATTTTATACAAACAATCCGTTATGCAGTTTATTATAATGTTATAATCCTAAACTCGAGACATTTGTTTTTTGCAGATGTATCATACGTTTCGTATATAAATTTATTTACATTATTTATATGGAATTTGAAAATTTTTGTTTTGTTACAGTTAAGTAAACAATATAAGTATTATTATTTCTATTGTAATTTATATATAAATCGGTTTTCTTTTTATTTATATTTTGGTTTTAGTTACTTATACTATCGATGGAATGGAAGCACATTTAATCGTCTTGAATTAGAGGCTTATTATAGAATGATAGATAATTATTGGATTTGTTTTTTTTTACCAATTCTTAGATTATAATATAAATATTTTTAACTAATTAATAACTATGATCTTTGTTATATCAATAAATGAACAATCATACGTATCGTTTGAATTCTCTCATTAACTAGAATAATATTTATATTTTCACTCGTTAGAAAATTTCCATAGATACTTGAAGAATTCAATGAACCTACGCATAGTAAAATTATTAGAAATTAAATGTACAATTTAAATACATTCCATTTGGAAATGCAACTTTCAATTTACTTTGACGCGCGTTATAAAGTGACTCGGCAGTTTACGTAGGTAGATTTGATTACTTTTTTTTTTATTTTCTTCTTTCTTTTTTTCATCCTTTTTTTTCTCGGTAAAAATATTCTGTCGCGTAAACGCAGGTGCGCTTAAAGAACCCGTCGGAAAAGCGCGGGCACGCACCATCAGCCTGCTGCTGCTGCTGCTGCCTGGTCAGTGCATTCGCGGAAGTCGTACTTCTATGTGCAGGGACGCATCCGTTTGCGTCTTGCACATATAATTAAAAGGTTAGATCCTTGATTGCAACGTGACATGGGATTCTTATCATTCCAATCAAGGACGTTTATTAAAACGCGTTTCTCAAATATGATTAGAAATAATATCGAAATATTTTCTTATTGTTTCTTATCGGGATATTAAATATAAAAAAGTTCAACACATATTTGTGATTTTATTTTTATCTTATTATTTATAATAAAATAAATTCATGAAAAATATCACGAAGATTAATTTAAATTGTAAATTATCTACGTAATAAAATTTCGTAGAATATTATCATCGATGAAATCTTCTCGTCCGGATCCGTACCTCCTCTCTTTCGTTTCTTTTCTGTCGCCCACGTTACCGCACCAGTGACTGGTTGCAGCTACACCGCAAGAATCGTTGTTTATGGTAATAACTTATGTTAGTATGGCTACATACATCGATGACGATATGTTCTATACGTCGCTTTATGTATAGAGAAATAGTTTAATCTTGATCATTTCCGCTCGATCAATCTCGCTTCGAAGACCACCTCTCCCCGTTTAATGTGTTCGATTAACCTACATATCGAGAAATAATGAGAAAAAAAAGATCATTCCATCGATTGAAAATACAAAAAAAATCATTCGTTTTTACGTATACTTATGTCGTTGAAATTCCATTTTGCTTGGTTCAAAAAAAAAAAACAAAAAAAAAGGGGTAGAGAGAAAGCATGGTTACTCCTAATGCACGCTGCATACGAATAATCATCCGTTTGGACGGTGACGTCATCGTAAATAAAACAAGAAGGAGAAAAAAGACTGTATCCTTACTTATCGCTGACATCATTTTGCTGATTGTTCGAGACGCCACTAGCTAGCCTCCATGTTTTTTCTTATTTTTAACGAACGACTATATTCAATGTCACAAGATTCAAGCTGAATGCGATTATTTTTGTATTATTTTTCTCGTACGAGTTAAAAACGTTAGAATTATGATGCACCCTAAATATTTCTATGTTTCGTATTAAATAAAAGATTTCTTTTGATAGTTATTTATAATAAGTTGATAAAAAATCATTTATATCGTGTGATTTTTTTTGTACTCTCCATTTTACGCATTTGAGTAAATTTTCTATAAACATCTTTTCACGCTAATTTAATATTATCAAAATGGCGCCGTTTTATCGTTCCTATAGAGTCAACAGCACACAGTTTTTGTTTTTACAAACTGGTCCCCCATCCGTTTTACTAATCGTGTTCACGTTGCTTGCATTTTAATGATCTGACAGGGAACGTGGCTTGACAATAGAATCATTTCAAAAATAATCGACTTTTTTTCGCTTTTTATTCGAACATTTTAAATTCGGATAAAAAGATGGCGCCAAAAGTTCACCCTCGAATTTTTCGAGGCAAATGGCACGCGCGGATTAGTTCGAAAATATTTTGCCAGAGGTCGTTGCCGATTGCCGACAATGGTGGCTTTTTCCTTTGCTTTCCGAACGGGTGTTGTGGTGTACTAACTGTCGTTGCAACAGAAAATTTTTTTATCGACGTTCATACCGTCCGAGAAAAAAAGAAAAAAATGTTAGAAATTTAAAAATATACGAGGTATATTATCGCATTGCATTATTGAAATATTATGCCGAGTAATTAATACGATTTTGTATTATCTTTCGATTTTATAGGTTCGTTGACACGGAGTTTTGTGGAAAGAATATTTTCCGATAACGCGCGAGTAGAATATCTACATATACGAATGTTGTATTACTTAAAAAATGATTATCAATTCATTCTTTTTTTTTTCCTATTTTTATTACGAATTTAAAAGATGAATAGCAAAAATGTATACGTTCTTGTAAAACTAAAGTAAGTTGTATTTATGCTTCTACCAACAGGTATAATAAATATTATCGTTTCTAGAACATAGTTCGAAAGTGAAACTGTATGACTAACGTCTTTTTTCTATTAAATTTTATAATAAAATAATTATACAATTTTGATTTTTGTAATGATAGTTTTCGAACAATTTTCTACAAACTTCGAGAAACTCTGCGCAAAGAGAAAAAGAAAAATTAACATAAAATGCGTGACGTAATCTCATTTATATTTCACGTCGGCAATTTTCAAAGCACTATCCCGAGCAATCCTACCTATTGTCCAATATCTCGGACTTTCTTCGCACCGTTATTCGAAAGAACATGCGCAGGACGTTCGAAACAGGAACGTGTGTTCTAATCGTGTGCCCTGTAATAAAAAACACGAAACCTCATGTTATTTCTTTTTTGCTCTATAGATTCGTGAACGATCAAAATGATATTTTTAAAAGATAAGATTCAGAAAATGAATTGTAGTATAAACTTAGAATCGAATAATATTAGCAAACAGACAATATCATTAAAAGTAATAATTAACATTTTTTATATTAAGGAAGTTTAAAACTATAGCGTGATATTTTAATAATTGAACTGTAAGTAAAAAATTAGGAAAAGAGATAGTATCTTTAACAATGAATATATAGAATACTTTGTATAAAGCAGATAATCAGCGTTGAACAGCACGAAAATAACATTATAATGAATAATGCAGCGATACTTTAAAAGTTTAACGTCATTAGGGTATTCAATTTGGAATTAACGTACGTTGCTGATAATTATCGCCACGGGCGTCAAGCTTATAAATGCGATTCACGGCAAACGAGTTACAAAAGGGTGATCTTACGGTGCGGATAATTTGAGTAACGAAGTAGGGTGACAAAAAGGAAGAAGGGTGAACGGCTTATAAATCTTGAGTTATACCTGTAGAATGTCTGTAATAGAATATATTTGTATCTTGTATATTTCGGTATCTTGAAGAAAAAAAATAAACATAAATTAAGAAAAAGTGTATCACATTGTTTAAAATATGTTTGAATTTGTTTCAGAAAATGGGATTAAAAGAAACAACCAGGAGAGAAAGTGAGATCTTGTTTTGAGAGCGTCGAAAGTGATGTGTTGTGTCTCTCCTCTCGTCCGACGAGAATTATTTTTGATCGCTAGAAAGTGTCGTGTCGTTCCAGGCGCATACGCTACTGGGGAAAACGCGCATGCGTCATGCACTTGCGCGTTTGTGGGTACGCATTAAGAATACTCTCGCTTATGAGCCTACCAGTGGGCGGAAAGAGAAATAGTGGGGAGAAGAACGTGCTGGTGAAGGCAGGCAAATAGGAGCGTACATCAGCGTACCTCAAATTTTCGGATTCGCCCATTTTACCAATCTCATTGTATCAATATAGACAAGGTTTTTAAGGAATTTTCACTCGAAGTAATAGTTATTAAATTATCACGAATCAATTAATTTAATTTTCTTTCATAATTTCTAAACACAATTTTAAAATAGGTCATTTCTTGTTAATCGATTATTTTGATTTGTAAACGTTATTATCTTTAATCGAAAGATTTCTTTTAGAAATAATTTTGATCTATAAATTATGCCTATTGTATTGTTCGACATTCAAATATCAAAAAAATTTATGACACTAATTGATTAACCCTTTGCGTTTTATAAGTTTTGCTACAACGACATTTATAATACAAAGTGTACAATAGTTTTATAAAATATTCTTAATTAAGTAACATATAAGATCAGAAAAAACAATCATTTGGATCATTTTCATTTAAGGAATTCCCAACTTGGGAAACAAATGGCGCCGAGTAAATACAAAATCTACGCCTATGAGGTGCCGAGAGAAATAGTGGGGGAGAAGTACGAAGAGAAAAGGTGGGGATAGTAATGGCGAGATCGGTAATGGTGGGGGAGTCAGAGGTGGTATCCGGCTGGGGCAAGCCAGGTCTGCTAGAGTAGGATGAAGAGAGATGGGGAGACGGTGAAACAAGTGGAATGGAAAGGCAGTCAGCGGGGTCGCCGAGCCGGAGAGACGAGTGAGTAGACAAGGGAGCGAACATCATCGTGGCAAGCCTAAGCGGCAAAGCCAAAAGCGCTGCTCTTGCCCGGCGTTTTGCTCGGCAAAATCACAACCACGCTCGTTTTTCGTCATCGTCAATCGTCATCGTCAATCGTCATCGTCAATCGTCATCGTCATCGTCCTTGTCCTTGTTCTTGTTCTAGTTCTCGTCACACGTGCCGTTCGCAAAAGTGTCGTTTTTTCGTTTATACTCTTGTAACAATCAACAAAAAATTACGTCTACGAATTGAAAAGTGTCCTTCGATTGATACATCAAAGAGTATAAAAAAAAAAAAAGATCCCTTTTCTTTTTCCTTTTCCCTTTTTAAAAATTGTATACATTTTTTTAACATTCTAAAAATAGTTTACAAGTTTTATCCTCTTTTTTCTTTTTTTTTTATTCTCCTTCCCTATTCCTTTCCTCATCCTTGTTCAGTTCAAGTAATCTTCCTTTGGGATCACCTGCTCGTCTCAATTCTTTACCACCAGCACCACCTACGTGAGCCGTGCCCTCTTTTAATATCGTGACAATTTTCTTGAGAAAAAGAGACAATATCAAGTAATGTTTCTCAACAAGTATTTCAAGTTTCTATCGATAATATAAAAAGTGATCCTCGTAAATGAATTGTAAATTAAATTATCAAGAGGAATAAATTTAATCACATTATTTGGAGCACGCACAAAATGATCGTATTTAACGTAAAGGAGAACAAAGCTCGTGATCGAAGAGTGTCGAAGGAAAGTGGGGGGAACGGTGATTTAAAGTGAAAGTCCCATGAATTCGTAAGAATATAAAAGTTGGACGGGACACTGAATAACGGTGAGAATCTCAGGATGGTCGAATTCCAATTGTCATGAGAAAGAAAGACAGTTGCCGCCAGAGACTGCCCGGTGGTCTTTTGAAAGAAAAAATCTTTCGTTGTTAGAGAGAACCGAAAAGAGATAGAGATAGATAGAGATAGAGATAGAGAGAGAGAAAGAGTTAGAAAAAGAGGAAAAAAGAAAACCTAGGAGAAGAAGGACATAAGGAAAAGTATTTGTTGTCGGGTTGTGATTCGGTCGATAAAGCTGGTCGAGCCGGTCGGATCGAGTTCTAGACGGATATGGCTACTGTTGTTTCTTCCACCGGTGTTGCTGCTGCTGCTGTTGTTGTTGCTGTTGCTGTTGGTGGTGGTGCTGTTGTTCCTCGATTTTTCTATCACCATCATCGTCATCGCAGCACACCACTTCTCCACCACCACCACCATTGCCACTACTATCAGGTACTACTACGTCGTCACCGTCAGCCGTGTTGTAGTAGTAGTAGTAGTAGTAGTAGTAGTAGTAGCGAGTCAGCAGGCGAACAGGTGCTGCTGCTACTGCTGTTGCTGTTGCTCTTACCCTCCTCCACCTCTTCTTCCTTTTCCTCCTCCTCCTCCTCATCCTCCTCCTCCTCCTGCTCAATTTCCTCCACCTCCTCCTCTACCTTCTGCGTCGTCGTTCAGGATAGGATTCGGCGAGACCTCTCGTGATAGCGGACACACAAGTCTCGAGCTACGGAAGAACGACTTCTCCGTTTGCTTGTTCTTCTCTTCGTCAAACTTACTTGTCGATCGATTTGTCAGGCCACGCACATTCCACGCGCATTCCCGCTATTCTTAGTGGCGTAGGTGTCCATTTCTCTCTCTCTCTCTCTCTCTCTCTCTCTCTCTCCTCTCTCTTTCTCTTTCTAACCTTCCCTATCTTTTTCTATTACTTCTATCTTTTTTTTCTTTTTTTTTTTTTTTCTTTTAATCCCCCTTATCCTATTCGTCGTTTTTCTCGTCTTCATCATCATCATCATCTTATTCTTGGTGTTATATATATGATACAGTGTAGTGCGTGTACAAGTGGCCCACGAGAAAGAGATTGAGGAGAGGGTGCAGAAGAAGAATAGGAAGAAAAAGAATAAGAAGAAAGATAGGAAGGAAGGAAGGAAGGAAGGAAGGAGGGAATTAAAGCGAAGAAGAGGAAGGAAGGAAAGAAATTAAAAAAAAATAGAATTCAAATTAAGATAAAGACATCAGTGAAGAAGGAACCGCCGTCGACTTCGATTGCGCGCATCTGGCCTTCTCGCCAGAGGATGACGAGCACGCGAAGGGTCGACTGTCCGCGACCGATTTCACGGATCTGTGGGACCCTTCTTTTGTTACTGATATTACTTACCGAGGTAAGTTTCCTTCAACCCAACCCCCTAACCCCTAAACTCCCCTGTATATCTCAACGGTATTCTGGAAATTCAGATTTAATAGCAAATCGAATGTTTTCTGTATTCAAAAAACATAACGTTTTGTTTTATTATTATTATTATTATGAATAATAATAATAATAATAATAATAATTGATAACAATTAAAAGTACACTACTCTATCGGTCTGTCGTAGAATTACGATGAATCGTCAAGGTGATAAGAAGTCTCACAGTTTCCTTCTAACGTGTTATATCACCGTTAATTTGATTCGCGATAAAAACACCCGTGACGCGTCGGTATTGTTGTTTTTTCCTTTTTTTTCCTTTATTGAAAATCTCTTACTTACTTACTTACTTACTTACTTAGTTACTTACTTACTTACCATCTCGTTTTCTTCTTCTCTCATGGGGTGTCACGTTCAAGGAAACGCCAATCGTTTCTTTATTATTTCCTTTCTGATTATATTTTTTCTCCCATAAAAGTTTCCAGTAATTTGTACAGTTGCGTATTGTATAAAAGAATACGACGAATAATTGTGATCACATTAGCCGATCATTTTTCTATTGGTATAGGATTATATTATAATGATAGCGAACGGAGAGAGAATGTTTCAACGATGTCGATTATCTGGAACACTTCGTAGCAAATGTTCTCTACGTGTGTGTGTGTGTGTGTCCTTCTGTGACACACGGTATGCGAGAAATATGTAAGTGTAGTAGTACTGGAATAATAAAAAAATATCTTCGTACGTTCACTCGCGTTCAAAGCTTTTGTTAATCCTCAATGAATCAGGATTAATTTCAACTTTCGTTCTATTTTCTTGAAGAAAGAAAAAAACAAACTAGACATGGACATTGACACTATGGGATAAATCTTAGATGAAAGTACGAAGGATGAATCAAATGCGGAAGTATGGATTTAATTTTATTAAACGAATCGAATCATCATCATCATCGTCATCGTAGAACGAGAAGTAGAACGTGCCTCTTGAACATTTTTTTTTATAATAGAGACAGACCAGCCGTCGTGGATAGTCGTCGTCGATGGCACGATTCGTGGTCAGCAATCGGTGAAGGGGAACACGACCGACATCCAGTCTTCTTTGCTCGGCCGATTCGTGTCTCCAGGTTGCGAAACCTCCTTGACTTTCTCAACGTTCGAGTGCAAATACGACGATGTTTTGAATACCTACTACTGTCTTGACTGACCCCGAATCCGATCGAAAATTTCTGCCTACTCGTTTTTGTTGTTTTTTTTTTTTTTTCTTTCAGTATTTTCCAATTGTTTCTTTTTTCTTTAATATTTTATTGACCATTTGTGTTTGAACATACTGTAATACATACTAACCGATCACTCACTATACTCGATTGCAAATACATAACCGACACCGGTTCTTTCTTTCTACATTCGAAAAAACTATCTCGCGAGAATATATATATATATATATATATACTTATGCGTTTTTTTTTTTTTGTGTATATAAATCTTTTTATATAAATGTTAAATGAAACTTTGTGAAAGTGTTTAACTATATTGTTAGATTTGTTTTTATATAGAGTAACTTTAGTTGTTATATTGTTCCGACGAAAAAGCAGATTAATAGACTACCAGTTGGTTAAAGGTTTCAGAAAAAAAGATTACGTAAATTGATTCTGATCGATTTTTTCTCCCCCCCCCCCCCTCCTTTGTGAACTCTCAGGGGGATTTTATCCTATGGCTTATAAAAATAAATGATATTCGTGACATGTAATGACAGATAGAAAATGTATTTTTAATAAGTGTGTCTGTTATTTTGCAACGTATGCAAAACTTGTCAAGACACCTTAGAGTAGAGTGTACACGTCGACAATAATTTTTTTTTTTAATATTTTGTATATAATTACAGTTTAGATAATTATTATATCCCTGTTATTTCATGTTTAACATTTTTTTTTTTTATTCAGTATGACAATACCAAAATCACATGATATATTGAGAAAAAAAGTATTGCATGATTGTAATGCAAAGTTTTGACTTCGTTATAATTATTTATAATTAACTATTCGTTCTATATATCTAAATAGATACTTTCTAATGTTTATACGATATATATATATATTAAAAGAGAAAAAAGAAAACAATGAATTATTTTATAAACATATGTTTTTTTAAGTGTCTCTTACGAATATCTATTTCGAAATGTATCGATCAAAGTACGAGGCGTGGATGCTCTTAAAAAGGATATAGGTGTGCCATTCAGCTTAGAGAAACTAACCCATGCCATAATAGTTTGTTACAACTATTGAAATCATTTGTAATTTGACCGTTTTTCTAATGGGGTTGGTAAAATGGCGAATATCGTGTGTCACGGAGAATGATTTAACAAAACGATCGTAATTTTCGGTTTTTATTTTTTTCTTTATTTTCTTTTCTTTTCTTTTTTCTTTTTGTTAATCTACAAATACGAATAGAGGCGTGCATATATATATATATATATATATATATATATATTATAAACGGATTAATGTTGTTAATCGTGTGTCACGGAGAATGATTTAACAAAACGATCGTAATTTTCGGTTTTTATTTTTTTCTTTATTTTCTTTTCTTTTCTTTTTTCTTTTTGTTAATCTACAAATACGAATAGAGGCGTGCATATATATATATATATATATATATATATATTATAAACGGATTAATGTTGTTAATGAGTGAAACATTGGTAACAGATCGAAACCATCGGTGTCTAATTGAAATGAACATAATTTTCGAAATTAATCGACGTACGATTGATTTTTTTTTAATCGTGGAAAAACACGAAAGAAAATATCCTGAGATTTGGAATTGACAAAATTTCTTCGCGTTTTTCTATCTTTCCGGGTAGGTATTTTGAATATATATATTTAACTTACCGCATCGGTAATTATATGAACGGTGTTATGTAATTTACTTTTTATTTTCAATCTGTCTTTTTTTTTTTTTTTCTTTTTCTCAACGTCATCTCATTTCTTCTTCTCACGTTACATCTCTTTCACTCTTTCGAAACGAAGGTCTTCAGTAATGTTTGCATCATCTATGTACGAGTTTCTTTGCATAGAGTTGATCATTTTGTTTGAAGGATAGACATCCACGATTTCTAACAATCTACGTGATTGTTTTCTTTCAGTATCGAATTAAATATATCTACTCTTTTTAAACATCGGATAATATTGTTGAATTACTAAGAATCAAGGAGAAAATAATTTTAAATTAAAACGAAGAGATACGATCAATTATTACAAATATTAATAAAAAGTGAACGTTTTATTAATATTTAATTTAGTTTATTTTCAGACAAAGTATTTCAAAGTAAAGAAAAAACGTATAAATCTTTTATAACTTTTTGTGAATTTAAAATCACGAACACGAATACTTGCGTATTTATTTAATTTTTTTATCGCCAAACAAAATTACTTTTTCTTCTATCACAATTTTCCAAACTTGTTAATGTATCAAAAATATAATTTTGCGATTATTACAAAATAATTGTATTCGTAATAAAAATCTTATAATCATTTTTCTTTATTATTTATTACAAATGTATTTCTATGTATTTACGTAAAGAAGAGAAAATATTTCTTTATCGATAAAAAGAAAAACTTCGTTAATCGTTTAAGAGATAGTAGAGAGGAAAATTGAAACTGCCATAATCACTTGTTAGTTGTAATTTTAGTGCGGCAAGAAGTTCATAAATCAAATACGAAGGGAACCACAACAGTGTGTGGTAGTAGTAACCATAGGATTGCCATTTATTGACCAAAGGAAAGTTCGGCGAAAGTACATCGTTTTGTATCTCTCTGCGTCATATTCAGTTTCAATCGATATTATACGAATCTCTCGTTTACGATTTACCATATTTAACCACCGCCCATTTAAACGATTACGATGTATCGTTTGAGTATGAATTTACTGATCTACTGTTACGGTTATTGCCATTTTTAATATTCATGTTAATACATTTTAAATATACGTCTGTGTGTGTTTATCGGAATAATATATCATTACAAATTCGAAAGTCAACGTTCACTTAAAAACTAAGTAATAATAAATTAAAAAGTTTAATATATAAACTATAAACTTTATTCGTTATATATATTAAACAATATGAATTTATGGGAAATGTGAAATATCAATGATACTCGTATAAAAACATTTTGTTAAAGTTATTTTTATTGATATCATCGATAGTCATCGTAATCTTTTTAACCTGATTGTATTTAATACATATACCGTATCATCGTTTATGTATATATAATTTATTAATTTATTATGGTTATATATATATGTGTATATATAATATTTAACATACACATACATTTATAAGAATGATAGATTAACTTCTCATTCAGAAACACTAGTTCCATTATAATAAGACAGAGATCAATGATCTACGAGCACAAAATCATTGATGCACCATATGTGTATTCAAAAGATCATTAGTTAACCTTTGTCATTAAATCCTCCTTCGCAATAAATAATCTTCATAAGCTGGATTATATTTTCTGAATTTATTGCAAATGTCATTTACTATTGTTAATCGTACGTTCTTTCCTTCTTTTATTTTTTTTTTTTTTACTCGTTGAACGTGTTCTTTTTAACTTCAAAAATTGTGGACACGTACGAATACGCGTATGTAAAAAAGAAATATGTGAAATTATAATGAAGTATAGTCTGTGCGAATTGGAATCGAGTATTTAACGACGTCGTCGTATGCATCGTCCTTCGATTACTTCGTCGAAGTTTAATTGGCGATTAAATGATGATAGATCGTTATTTCTTTTTTTTTTTTTTTTCAATTTTTATTTTTTCTATTCTTCTTCTTCTTCTTCCTTCATATATGCGATTAATTCTCGGATTTTACCAAATGAGAAGTGGTTTACGATGTTATCGAGGGATTTCCCGCGAAACGAATATTATTGATTTGCTAAGAAATTTGAATCATTAAAGATCTTTGTGAACAA